TCTCCAAAGTTTAGCATTGCCCTATGAAAAGCAAGAGGCTGACCTTTTGTTGAGCAAGAGTGGAAGGCTTTGCTGTACATTGGATCCCGACTAGGGCCCCGGGTGTCACCAAAACCGACGTGTGCTTGCTCAGGGCATTTGGAACAGACAAAAACGAAACATGTGAGGCTCCAGCTGCAGAACAGCTTTGCAGGAGGATCTACGAAAGTGCAGGCCACCAAAACATCAAAGCAGCCGAAGGAAAAGAAGTTCTTAAGAAGTGCCGAAGGGACCTTTGTATACGAGATGTTGATCATCTCGTAGCACATTCTGGAGAATGCACAGATGCTAGCACAGATGCATTGTTTTTTGGTCGTCATCTGTGTAGTCGCGCGCAGCTGCAGCTAGAGGACATAGAGTCATGCATATAAGTATCGTTGTACTTAGCTTGCTTCCGCCATTCGCTTTGCTCTTTAGTTTTGCCTTCTCTCAATTCATTATATTTTGTAGCTTAGATCTCATTTATTCATTTCACTTTGTTATCCCTTTAATCGTGTTTATTGTTGCTATTTTGGTGCCAAGATAAAGTTTAATTACCCAAGTTTGAGGTTACTTGCTCGTGTCCCGAGGTCCCGCGTAGCAATATCTCTGGTTGTGGTTGACAAGTGGTATTCGGAGCCTTACAGTTCTGAGTATATCTTGATCATCAATTAATACAAGTGGTGCATCGACCGAATAAAGAGTACCTTTTATTGCAGAAGATAAAGTGTTTCTCGCTTGCTTTGCACGATACGCTTTTGATCTTGCACGATAGTGGATCAATTGCACATACTGGAATTGCCCGGAATTTCTTGTTGATTTGCATTTGCATAATGACAAGTACAGTAAGAGCGTATAATGGACTTATGATCAAAAGAATCCAAGTCGCTCTGGCATGGTTGGAAGATTCCGCACAGCGTCTTCAACACCTGAAGGAAAAAAGCACACAACAGGAACAAATTAAGGAGTTCACAATGGCTGTGGCGAGGTGCGACGAGTGTCGAACTTCTCGAAGCATCTCTAAACAAACTTACGGAAGTTTATGATAAACTTTAGGATAAGACGAAGAAGAAGATCATTTAGGCAAGCACGCAGAGATCGCTTAAGAGACTATCATGAAGTTATGCGCGCATAAGTCCAATATCAAGCAGATACTACAAGAAATAACACGGGAACTATGCTCCGAACAAGTGGAACCGACCACCAATGTCAGCAGTCAGCAGGCTTCCAACTATACCCATCTCAAGTTTTACAGGAAAGAAATGGGAATGGGACAACTTGTGGGCCATATTCAAAGCCAACAGTTCCACGCAATAATTTAATTTCACAGGAAGGACAGTCGTGGATGCACAGAGAGGAAGAATGCTGCAACCGTTACCAGTTCAACTCAGTTCGCCCCCGAGGCCAACCGAAGAGCAAGTTCAGCAACAGATAAAGGCCTGCGCAGAGAAAGGCCACGAGTATGAAGACCATCTCAAACAAGCAAAGTTATTTTACCGAGCTGAGATCGGACAGATGGGAGATACCCCACAACTTGGTAGAATTTATGGACTATATCATGAAAATGAAGGATCGTCACTCCCAACATCAGCAGGAGAAACGGAAGTCGGTATGTGGATGGACCAGCTCATACTCGCACATGAATGGTATGAAAGACTTGTGGTGGCCAATGAAGCCTAGTGAAGGAACCGCATCCTTTACTTGAACCACTTTGAAGAAGGCGTTATCATGAGGCCCACAACACCAGACGATCCGAATTATTCACAGCCACGACCTGACACCGCCACTACAAAAAAGGAACCATGATGCCGATGGTTGACAAGGTTGAAAAAAGATATGACGTCATGAGATTTGAGCTGGACGAAATTCGCGATGTGGAACAAGAGATCAGCAGAGCCAGACCTGTCCATGGCCAAGCAAGAGAAGAACTGAACAATGCTATCACGGAGCTCGCACGCGAGTTCAGAACAACAAGAGGAAACCCAGCACTGGGTCAGCAACAGATTGATAATGCATCGAAAAAGGGAAATGAACGCGACCTCCAGATGAAAAATGAAGCACAAAAACAGCACGAGTTACTTCTCAAGGAGATCTCTGGTACGAAGCAACAAATCGTCAAGCTGGCGAAGCAGATAAAAGAGCACAGAAGGAAACGCCCCGAGGGAAGAAAGCCCCGACAGACCCTGTCCCTCGCACTCTCCCTGGTGAGGCCGGAGTATGCGATGATGTTAATCGTCTCGTAGCACATTTTCTGGAGAATGCACAGATGCTAGCACAGATGCATTGTTTTTTGGTCGTCATCTGTGAAGTTGCGCGCAGCTGCAGCTAGAGGACATAGAGTCATGCATATAAGTATCGTTGTACTTAGCTTGCTTCCGCCATTCGCTTTGCTCTTTAGTTTTGCCTTCTCTCAATTCATTATATTTTGTAGCTTAGATCTCATTTATTCATTTCACTTTGTTATCCCTTTAATCGTGTTTATTGTTGCTATTTTGGTGCCAAGATAAAGTTTAATTACCCAAGTGTGAGGTTGCTTGCTCGTGTCCCGAAGTCCCGCGTGGCAATGTGGTCTGGTTTTGGTTCACAAGCGGTATTCGAAGCCTTATATTTTTGAGTATGTCTCGACCACTAATTCATACACTTTGCGAATACCACCTTTCGCTGGCAACCCGAACTGCGAGAGGGCACCGATTTGGCACAGGGATCCAAACCACGAATGTCCATGCCTTCGGGATATCACCATTCCGTCGCACTTCTGCTAACCGGAGACACCACCTACACAATATGTCGCATCGCACCCAACATCGTAATTTCAAATGAATGGATTCCTGACCACTAGAGTACTCATGAGTCGTCCTTCTCTTCAAGGAGGACGAACGGAAGGATCTTCAGAACCACCGCCCATATGCTCGCTGAGTCTGCTATCCAAGCTTCTCACAAGATTATCCCCGCTTTCATATCAAGGACACTAGATGAGCTTACCCCCAAAAACAAGCTGGAGTACGCGAGGAATTCTACTGCATGGACTACATTCGGAAAGGTTATATAGGTCTGCAGGGAGTACCGCCTTCCTCTCGTCCTAATTTTCGTTGACTACGAGAATGCCTTTGACAGAGTCGAAACCAGTGCCATCCTGTAAACTTCAATCGATCAAGGAGTGGCTTCAGATTATGTGAGGATAATGGCCGACTGCTACATGGCAAAAAGGTGCAGATATTCCATCGCCCCTGACCATCCCAGTTGAGAAGCGGGTTCGAAAAGATGACAAAATTTCGCCGAAGCTAATGTGCTTAAAGTTACTAGACTGAGGCGAGAGATGCAAACGTGATAAAAATTTCCCTTGAGCCATATTTTTGCTGATGACATCGTTCTCTTTTCGAGCATTACAACGGTGCTGAAGCACCAAAAAAAAGCAGGGAAAAATACTGAACTGTGAATGGATTGGAGGAAGACCCAGTTCGTGAAGCATGCCCTTGATAGAAACACAGAGATGGAATTCAAATTCCTCCCCCCCCCCCCGCATCAAGGAAGGAGCTGTAGAGTAAACGAGCAGCCAAGGCCACTTTGAGCTTTAAAGAAAGCCACACAGCTAAGGGATCCGGAACTTGGCTCATCTCCGTGACCTAACCGTTCTCACAGTCCTGTTGCGCAGCTGAGACCTCGGGTGAGACCTTACAGCCATGTCGGAAGCTCTGAGAGCAACCCACGGAACCCTTCAACGCAGTCTTCTGAAGATTGGAAGAAGGGAGAAGTATGTCACATCGTGATCCAGAGGAATACGGTCGATGGGGCGTTGGTGAGAAGAACAGGAGACAGATGACATTATGAACATCAGAATGGTTACCTCGTGAAGCAGAACGCTTTCAAATATGACCACCGACGAGATGGGCACACGTATTCGGGGAACCAATGAACCAGCCAAGAAAGTAGCTTGATACAACTCTCGCATCTGGAACTCGCGGATGCAGAGACCAACGACCACCGAAATGATCGTGGATGTCAGAAGAGGGGACAGAAAGAATGGCAGCTTCCACGCTGGATCGGCACGCAGCGTGAAGACAGGCCATCCAAGGTCCACTGCCGGACGAAGGCGCAGAACTAGGGGCGCGAACGCCGTTTATCCACAGAGGCATGAGGCGCAGGATTTATAACGGTGTACATACAGCCCGTCCCAGTCCCAATTAAGCTAAAATTGCCCGACAATGCCATATGCAGCGCCCCGCGCAAATGGGCGCCAACGGTACGGCCTGATCTCGATTGGGACAGACTGTACGCGCGCGCTACGCTCGCACCCGTTCAACATTTATTGCCTTTCCGCCTTCGTCCTCCAGTAGACTTTAGGCTTATAAATTTAAGTCTATCTATCTAAGAATTATGGACGTCTGCCGCATGGACTGGCCGTCATTGCGAAGTACGCGAAGCCGTCCAAACGCTTGTACCTACACAAATCATTGTACAAGCCGTGCTTTCGTAACGTGTCATCCCCGTGCTCCTTAATGTCGGCCAGTCCGTGTAGTCGACACCGCAACGATAACTAGCGTCTTGTGTTCGATAAATTAAATTCAACCGCAAGCGAAATGATTCTTGCTAGTGATACGAGTACTAAATGCGTCCATAAAGTTCTCAGGTTTCGAAAACCCAAGATTTCGCATTCTAACAAGTTCAGTCAAACTGTAAGACTTTTCAGAGCAGCTAAACTCTGCTTAGAGTCATATGCAATTTCAGTCCAGACCTTCTCTAGGGAACCAGTTTTGAGATTCAAGATATCAACGTGCTGCTCATGAACCTAATGCCTTACCCAGATATTCAGAGCATATTTCGAGATGTAACACCACTTTTGCCATAGACATATTTCGGACCGAGAAACCATTTCTACATCCAAGTTGTCATAAAACTGACCGCTTTTCACTTATTTCACTACCACTTAGGGATGCAATATCAAAGTGTGGGCTTTAGCTAGAATAATCATACTTTATTTATCTGTCACGATCAAATTGACGATTTACAATAAAACTGTGAATTCAAGATGAGATTTTCGCAATTTTCCACATAACAATGATGATGTCACGGCTGGGTACAAAGCATATTGGGCACAATTTGTACAGACAACGAAATGAATAATAAACGTTGCATTAACACATGAAAATACTCGAAAACACTACGAAAATCGAGAGTATTAATAACCAGGAGCAGTTCTTGGTGGTGGACAATGATCACATCCACCAGCTGGTCCAGCGGGCCCATCAGGTCCTGGTGGACCATCTTTTCCAGGTGCTCCTGCTGGACCCGGTGCTCCAGGATCGCCAGCATCTCCTGGAGAGCCGTCTGGGCCAGGTTCTCCATTTCTTCCAGGGGCACCTAAAATTTGATTGAGCTCTGTGTCACAAACGCAAGAAAGTTATTACCATCCGCTCCAGGAGGCCCTGGAGGTCCGGGTGGTCCAGGTGGACCATCGGGTCCTGCAACTTCGTTAAGCTTCCCGGGTGGTCCTTTAGGACCAGGTTTTCCTGGCTGGCCTGGTTCTCCAGCCGGTCCAATAGGTCCTGCTGGTCCAGGTGGTCCGCGCTTCCCATCTTCTCCTTTGGCTCCCGGCGCGCCTGGTTCACCGCGCGGGCCCTTTGGACCGGGCTTACCTGCGGGACCAGCAGGTGCATCGGGGCAGTCGAAGCACCATTCCTAGATGTCATTTACATTCAGTTTATATCGCTTTGCCAATAAAAGAAAATGTATTTAAGCTTACTGGTTCCTTTTGCGGTAGTGGAGGAGGGGCATCTGGACCATCTTTTCCAGGTGGTCCTGGTGGTCCATCTTCACCATCCATTCCATTCGGTCCAGGAAGTCCAGGCGGTCCTTGAGGACTGACACCGCATCCACAACACACTCCCATTGGGGTTGACTCCACAGCAAGGGATGGAGGGCCATAGCCAGATTGTCGAGTTCCTCGAGACGAAGGGTGAAATTGAGCAAGCACCTTCATCAAGAATTTTGGATTTTTCAATTTTCAATCAACGAAAACAATAAAGGATCTAACCTGCGTTCGAGTGACTTCTTTCCAAATGTTTCCGGTACGTAATTTACAGAAATTGACCTCGCTTTGCATGATAGTGTGCATATGTTGCATGTAGTTGTATAACATTGGTACTGAGATGATACATATCAACGTGGCCGTTGTCGAGATGGCAACACCGAAGAACGCTACCCTAGAGATTTTGAGATTTTCAGGATTTCACTCCGTACTAGAAGTGAAGAAGGGTTACCGTCGTAATCCGTTCGCCTCTCTTTCCAAGTCGAGTAACGACTGTTTGTCACTCATTCTGTTGGCGATGGAAGCGGAGTACGGGAAGAAGGTTAGTCAGAAGCAGGCAAGGATTTATCACAAAGCTGAAGAAAATGTTGGAGTCCTTTCTTATAAATTTTGAGCACATGATGGGATTGGCTGCGAGTTAGTGAACTTCTGACTACTTCCTCTTTATGAAGGATTACTATCTTAAGATTCAGGAAGGATAACACGACTACGCTAGCGAAATGCTTGACAAAGCATCATTGTAGAAAAGCAATGGCATTGAAATCAAGCTTCAGCTCGATCATGTCTATGCAGCCGGCTTGAATGGAACCACAAACGTGCCGTTGTGGTGACACCGCCACCCACAGGTGTGCGTGCCACGCGATGAAGGCGATAAAGCCGAAAGAGCACGGATTGTGAGATGCGACGACGTCGTCGCCAACGCTAATCCAGCAGGTTTTCCAAAAACAACGCGCGAAACGTCGTCTCGCATCATGACAACTGGTCAGGGTAGCTTGTGATGTTTTTCGTAGAAAATATATCGTTGTATAGGAAGAATGTGAAGAGAGAATATAGACACTTCAAACAATCCTGAGATCAGGAGAGTTAGACTTATGGTAGGGCTACAGTATGCCTTGATAGGAGCAGTACAGCAGCAGAAGCACTGATTAGCGCAGACTCTAGTGTCGTATAGGAAGAATGCGAAGAGAGAATATAGAAACTTCAAACAGTCTTCAGATCTTGAGAACTAGACTTACAGTACGACGGTATGCTCGATAGACACCACCCTGACCTATGGCATTGCCATAGATGAAGGCTAGTAAGACCCACAACGGTGATTATCTTAGAATTTTCCAAACTTACATAGTTAACTACAGCAGTTAAGCAGCTCAAAAAAGGCAGAAAACTGAGGTCCGCACTTATGTGTACTTCTGCTGTACTGCTCCTCCTCGCCATCCCCCCCCCCTCTCCCCAACACCCGTTTTTATGACCCGTTGGCCACCAAGCGCATTTTTGTTGTCTGCTGGGATCAAGGTTTGGCCTAAAGCATACCCTCCCCAATTCCATCAAATCGCTACATCCAAACGACTTGACGTTTTGCCAAATGTCTACAGATTAATCGTGCTAGTATTAATCGCAAAAGTAACAAATGGCTCGAGCAAAGTACATTTACGAATAATTATGAAGAGTTGTTGCAGTGCCAGATAGCACAGCGACTGGAATCGCATGAGGTATGCCTTAGGCCTTTTACGGATCAGTAGAGTCGTTTCAGCTTAATAGCTTAGGCAGCTATCTACAATATACCTATAGTGACTGTAAAAGGTTTTCAAAAAACACGGAAGTTATTTCTAAACTTAGCGCTTGAGGAAACTCATGAGGTGAGTAATTCTCAGAATAGTCGTTCCAACGAAATTCGAACTATGCCCCACCATGTGAGTCACATTGTCATCAATGTGTAAATTACCTTCCTTGGTCACCGAAGATATTTTCTTGCAGTTTTTGCGGAGGCCAGGAAAAGAATGGCTTTTGGGAATCGAGCACAATATATACAGCTTTTCCTTGTGAGACTCGATTTAAAGCTGACTATTGCGCAATTTGAATGGAACATGCGATGCAACAAGTTGACGAGGACTAGTTCCATTTGTGAGGCGATCCAACAATGATCATGCCTAACTTCCTTGCAGAATAAATTTGCATGACAAAGCATAGGACGAGGTAGTCATTAGGCACATGTTATATCTCTCCTTTTATCCATTCAGTCTATTTCAGCAACTTCATTCCCTGCAGAACTAAACGCGGCATCAAAGACTGATCATTTTGTATGAAGGGGAAAGTTTGACATGCGACTCAAGGCTCTTTGTGAAAGAAAGGCAGAAGGAATACGGAAAAATCAAATGCTTCTGGAATTATAGGTTGAGTCGAAAGGAAAAGAGGAGGGACTAATAGCAATATCATAGGGTTACACAACCGATGGAAAGTGGAACGGCTTGTAGGCCAACCAGATGAGACGACAACTACAAGGCAATTATCCGTCAACGAACAACTCTCGCCCGACAACTCAACCGGATCAAACCTTAGACTTACAAGAGAGGATTGCAAGTGCTCGCGCTTCTTTGTAGTGCAATGAGCCCATTCCGAAACTCTACATGCTAGGCTTTACAACCGATTCCTCTTTTCTTGCATAGAGTCGCCGTCGTGATGATAGAATTTGATAGGGAAAACTATACAAGCAAGGTCGTTAACGGTGTGCCTGAAGAGTTTGTCCGGGACGGGGGTGAGTGGGTTTTCACACTCAAGGGCGTGTAAGGAAGTGTTTTTGGGGATAATGCTGCGAATCCGAGGAGGATGAATGGATTCGGGCTTTCCTCCGACAACGAGTACGCTTTAGAAAAAGAAAATTGACAGCGCAAAGAAATGTCGTTGCATTGGTTCAGTTTCCAAGTGTCGGATAGCTGGCAATACATCATTATATGGAAATTGGAGGAGGAATTCCTTCTAGCTACGAGCTCAACTTTTCCATGGATTCATGAGGCAGCTAAAGCACTTTGGTGGAGTGGTAGCGAAATTGAAGAGCTGAATATGCAAGTACAAAACACTGAATCTGTCACCTTTGCAATGGCGGGATAAGGAACAAACCCAGGAATGAAGTTTTCTGTGGATTTTCTAGCCCAATAATCGTGAGGAAAAGAAAGCGAATTCGGTAGGGAGGAAAACGAAAGGTTGCATCGAATGTGAAGAGGGCGAACATGCTAATTGAACAACTTTCGACGGACCAAGTGGGGTACAGTCATCTTTTATAGGCTCTTGACACGAGAAGACCGATGGGGGGCGTGCTAGTAGGGCGATCATCACCAGAGAGTGACTGGACAGCGGCGTTAACGGAGAGCGGCAACACTCGGGATTCTACGGCTATATCCTTACCTCGTCGAGATACTGTAACGTGAAAAGCTTGAATAACACGCTTCAAACCAGTACAAAATCTCACTAACAACAGCCGAGCGAGCCTACTTGATCGTGGTCATCTCTCGTCGTCATCTTTATGTTAAGATTTTAAGCGGCTATTCACGGACGTCTCAACAATACGAGGCTAGCAAACATGGAATGAAAGCGAAGAGTTTCGCGCAGACTAGCCTGAGAGGGAAAGTTACTTTCGCCCTGTCAATCTTCGAAACTCTTCCTTTTAGTGTTGATCTCAGCCTTGTCAAACTTTGAATATTTTTTGTTGTTATAAAGCGGTTCGCTTGCTAGGTTGAAGGCGAAGAAGAGAGTTGTTCTGTTGCATTTTTGAAACGTGCCAACTGGCCGTTATGTAACTGGAATGCGGTTTTGGTGAAAGACGTCGACGACCTGTCAAGCCAGGTTCCTTGAAAGTCACATTTGCTATGCTTTGCATTCAACTTGTTGAAGTTAATACTATCAATTTCAAAATATTTCCAAGATTTCTAAGATTCTGAAAGGTAAAACTTTTTTGAAAGTCTTATTAATCATAGGTACGTTTACCTAATACGTCCCCGACCATTAACCGCAATTGAGATGAACTGACCCAACATCAATCAAAAAATTGCAGGTATTAGACGAACTTCGCTAACTACTCAGTAGAACGCGTGTAAAAAATATCTATGAATCATAATATGAAGAAAAAGCGAAACTGGGTCTGCCAACGTACTGTTTGCCAAAATGATGAACGAGAATTTGGGAGAATAGAGATATATTTGCAGGCTTATCGGCTACGGTGATGTATGGGAGATTTTCTTTGATTTATCTGAAGTCACACTTGAACAGGAGCTATTTGAGATCTCATGAGTGATTTGCAGGCGTATATATAGCTAGTCGAGCTTAGCTGATGGAAAATTTAAAAGCAATAGATTTTCTTCCTATTTTAAGCTTAAGTGAGAATAAAGAGACTTTGACTGCTCTTGCTTAATTTCAGAAGGAATACGTTACACGAAACTGGGCTGCTCCATAGCGAAGAGCGAGAACTATGAAGGATGCAAGCTTCTACACAGCAATTCCTTCTAGATCAGAATGACGCAGTTCGGACGAGATTGCACTGATTTTCCTGGTTTAAATGGATGTTTCTTGCACAGTGTTTTGATGATATTTGGTGGTTTCTTGTTTCGACAAGAATTTCATACAAACTCAATCACTCGCTATGGTCTCGTCGCACGGCTTTTCGCGACAGTGGTTTCATCATTTCATCTGCAGATATGCTCTATTTGGATGAACACTGCCTGCAGCTTTTTTTTCTAAAAATCGGATTGGATGAAAGCATTTTGCAATAAATTTTTATTTCAAAATACTGAAGTAAGGGACTGAACTGGTTATGTTACTTACAAAAGTGTTTTACCTCATTCTCATATTTCATAAAAAAATCTTACAAATCGGCCATCTGATCACCACTGACATGCAACTCCTGACAGTAGGATTCCAATTATTTCAATAGTTATAGGTTAAAAAAAATTCTTTGGTGATGCACTTCATGCATTTGAATTCTCCGGAAAAGTCCCTTGCACTTCCTAAGAATCAATCCCGTAAAATTAAGATCCGGAATTTGTCACTCAAAAATGTGTAAAAGCGAAACAAAAGTGCATTTTTTTCATTTTTTTCTCCGTCCAGGAAATTCAGCGAGGGCCGAATATGGGCAGTAGCCTCTTTTTCGCGTCGATCTAATGCGATAGTTCGTAATTACATAATGGCACTTCATTCATTTACATGTTGTGAATGACCAGCACATTTCTATTTGCAATAGTGCTGCTTTTTTTCTTTTCCTCATAGCATGTTTGTACGATAATCGTGCAAAGTGTAGAATTGCCTTGCTGCCAAAAACCAAGAGAACTTCCTGACCAATAGATAATGATTTGGGAGGTTACCCAAGATTACTGAGAGAGCAATAGTGAATAATAATGCATGAGTTTCCTTTGTTTGGTCAACTCCATAGTTTGAAGGATTGATTACTTTTGTAAAGAGCAAATCGCGATAATATTTGAAAAACGCTTTGAAACTTGTTTTTATAGATTCTTATGAGTGCTGATTTCGGGAAAACGATCGATGTACCAGCAATCTACTCAAAGACAGCGGGGAAAATCTCGATCTTCGGAATTCCGCTCATCTGCGCTTACCGTTGAGCATATCCCAAAAATCCACTTCGGATAGCGGGAAAACGCCAAGAACTTTCCTTCCAGCTTTCAACTGGACATGA